GGTTGCCATATAAGGAAATACATTTATAGCCATCAATATTGTTTGGGATATTTGTAAAGCTGTATGCCAACTTTAAATGCTGACATTGGCTATTACCTGCTGAAGTACTTTCATTAAAAGGTGACAAAGTGTGGCATACACTATCGAGTTTCGTTGCCGCGCATTTGTTAGGCAAAACCGTTCACAGTAGTACATGGGAAACAATTAATAACAATAAATGTATACGTTAAAGTAGTAATAATGTTCAATGCAGGGAATTCTTAATAGATATGCACGAGCGAACAGATGCAGGTTTACGGAGCACGATGCTCGATGTCGAAGGCGTGATTGCACCATTGCACCATTGCACCAGTGCAATTGATTGAATTTGCCTGGCCGTTTCCTTGTTCTCCCGAATTCTCCCATTCTGAGCTGATTGATTTCTGGTTCATCTTTGTCACCACTTTGCCACATGCGTCCCTGATCCACTCCTTAAATGACATATATGGACTACACTCCAGTGCTCAAGCACTTACCAGTACCAGAGTCGGCCATCCTCGCACTGGACATTGTCAGCTGTATTTAACTGCTGAACAATCATCTGTGCATCGCCAGTTACTTGAGACTGGCACTTGTTGTCATCTTACACAATTGGTTTCATTTTTGCAGTGCCGAGTATTATTGAATGAAATAGAAAGTTAGGGGTCGAAAGGTGTGAAGTGAGTCATTACTACATCGACTAAATTGAATGTCATATTTATTGGGTGGCATACAAGTACATATTATGTCATGGCATTATTATTATGTGGCTCTCCACCTCCTGCAGGTGAATTAGGTTGGACTCTGGATTTGGTTGTCGCCCCCAGTTAGGGTCACTGCATAGCAGCACATAGTGCCACAATATATTTTATTGAATAATTAGGTACTGAAGAAACACACATACTATCCAGTAGTACGCTATATTGGTGACAATATGGTCGTCCATATGAGACATATTCACTGGCAAATATTTGTAGACTTTGATATGAGATTGTCAGACACCTGAATTGTATCAATTGATTATTGTGCACATTCCGCATGAGATGAAGATAAGGGCTCACAATTGATTATTATCGTATACTTAATTATACCATCTCAGTGATGTATATAAGGCACAACTGCGGTAAACACCACACGATGTAAGTGCCGCACTCTCCTGCGACAGACATCTGATGGTAAACATGGCAAGGCGCGGCACATACCAGTGAAAGCATATGCCGCACTTCTTAGCCAGAATATTGCTATCTATATAACCCGGGCCGAATGTAACATTCGGCCTCCCTCCGTGCGCACCTCCTAGCTCCTCGAGATTGTGTCCTATCCTCCTGAAAGCAATCTATCTATATGCCAATGGCTCCAAGCCCCTTGGAGCCATGGATTTTGTTTTCAATCTATGCAATTTAATTGAGACGTTATAGGCTTGTGGACACCCTCAACAGCAAGCTCGGCATCCCATTGGTCCGGCGCAACTGCGGCACAACTCTGATGTTGCATTCCGATCGCTCGGTGCCGTCGGCAATCTCCTTGGTATCCTCGTGAGGTACTGTCACAGACAACGTCATCCACCTCATCTTACACGATAGCTCTGTCTTGCGCAGCACTTGCGCAGGCTTGTTTCCCTTCTTCCCTACACTGTCGCCCGTTTCTGGACCCGGCGCAACTGTATTAAGCATTCCCTAGTTCATTTTTTCCAACCTCTCCTTAGGCGCCCGTTCTCCAGCACCTTTTCCAACACTTTGTGGCCGATCTCCGCTTGCGCCAGGTATAAGGCTGTTGCTACGGGTTATACACCGTTCCAACGTTGTTCTCTGGGTATCGGCATGGCTAGAGGGTGTACGGTTGGTCGTTGGAGGTCGGACAAGGTTGGGAGCACGACTGGTGAGAGTTCTTTCATCGTTTGTATTGCTTACCAGGCTTGTTTTGTGATGTAGAAGCTGTGATACGGAGTTATACTCTGTATGACGGTACATCTGGCAGGTTTGGTTCGTCTTTTATTCATCCAGTGATCAGGATGGCAGCTCTCTATCGGACCTCGGTCTGTTCAGGTAAGTGTGGTATTCCTTCGTTCTGGGACGTGCCCCTGTGGTTTTAGTAATGCACAGGACATTATATGGCCCTCAATGTGTTTGTGATGATTTCGCGTTCGAAATGTGGTAATTACTGACATGTCATAAAATATGAAAAACTTCGTTCACGGTTGACCCACCGTGTGCAGGCATGATCTATATAAATGATATTTATCACTGTCTATTGTGAGTTAAGTGCCATTCGTCATACCTGTCGCTATCTTTATGTGAACAATTCTGGTTCTGGATGTTTTGGTTTATGACATGTCAGAAAGGGTGTAATTTTTTGACATAGTCGTATTTCATCTGTCCTGTCTTTTTGAAAATCATTCCTCACAGTTTCTATGCTTTTTTTCTTATTTCGGATTCATCCTGGCTACACTCGTCAATTTGCAACGTTTCAATGTATTGCTTTTATGACATGTCAGTAAGACGAAGTATTTGACTGTTGGGTTTTCCTTCACTCAAGTCGCAGTTTCTCCTTGTTCACGTGTTTATGTCACATTCACACTGCTTATACATTCCGTTCCAAGGTATATGCTACCAAGATATGACTCGAAGCACCAAAAAATTGTAATCTCATGTATGCGCCTATTCTAATGGCTCTCAGTCATCATCAGACGACAGCTGTACGCATATCCTCTTCTTCTTTTGGCTACGTGTAGATGGTTTGTCATTTTCTGACGTTCTCTTTTTCTGTAGAAAGTTTAGATGTAATATTTTAGGTTGGCGACTCTCTCACTGAGTTTTTTTTCATGCATTTCTTGGGGAGGTTTGACGCCTTATC